TTTTGAGGTACGTGGGCCTCTCACTGTTGTGGCCTCTCCCGTCGTGGAGCACAGGCTCCAGACGCGCCGGCTCAGTGGCCGTGGCTCACAGGCCCAGCCGCTCCACGGCATGTGGGATCTTCCTGGACCGGGGCACGAACCCATGTCCCCTGCATCGGCAGGCAGACTCTCAACCACTGCGCCACCCGGGAAGCCCCGATGAAAACTTTTAAACGGACACAAAATTAGACTGAATGATACAGTGACCTGCGCCCCTACCCCAGGCAGCCATCACCCGACTTCAACAGCTAACAGCTTGTGGCTACTCTTGTTTCACCTACTGCATTATTTCGAAGTAAATGCCAGACTTACCGTTTTATCTGTAAGCAGTTCAGTATTTATCTTTTATTTATTTATTTATGTATTTGGCTGCACCAGGTCTTAGTTGTGGCAGGCAGGCTCCTTTGTTGCAGCTCACCAGCTCCTTAGTTGCAGCACATGGGCTCCTTAGTTGTGGCATGCAAACTCTTAGTTGTGTCATGTATATGGAATCTAGTTCCCTGACCAAGGATCGAACCCAGGCCTCCTATACTGGGAGCATGGAGTCTTATCCACTGTGCCACCGAGGAAGTCCCAGTTCAGTATTTATCTTTAAAAGATAAGAACGTCTTGAAATAATTGCAATACCATCAGCACACTGGAAACAGTATCATCCTTAATATCATGAAATATTCCAGTGTTCACATTTGTCTAGTTGCCTTTTTTTTTTTCCCCAGTTGGATTGTTCAGATCTTATTCTGAGTCTGAGCAAGGCCCCCATGTTGCATTTGGTTAAAGGGATTCTTAGGATCTTTCCTCTCTGGGGCCCTTCCCACGTTTTCTTTTCCTCTTTGCTTGTTTGTAGGAGAAACCGGACCGTGTGTTCTGGAGAGTTCCTCACAGTCTGGGTTTTACTGATTTCATGCCCGTGGCCCTTGCATTTCCTGTAAACTGGTAGTTAGAGCTAGACAACTGACCTGATGTAGGTTTGTTTGTTAAAGGACCCTTTAATGATTTTATTGAGCCTTCGTGGAGGGCTGGTGCGTGCCCAGCCCCACGGCGGGCACTGGGAGACCCCGGGTGGCCAAGCAGTGCCCCCCGCCTCTGCTCCCAGGCCAGGGGGCAGTGGCCCTGACCTGGGGTCGGGGTGAGGGGTGTGTACTTGATCCCCCGGCCGCTTGCTCACACACAGTGGGGCCTGGCCAGAGCCTAGTGGGTGCTTCACTAGGCGTGTTTGTCCTCAGCGGGGTCTGAGGGAGGTCTGGGCCCCGGGTGATGTCCTGCTGTCTGTCCATAGGCCTGATCCGGAGCGGCGTCCGAGAGCCCCGCCGCCACCCTCCGGTGTTGCGCATGGTGCTGGAGGCGCTGCAGGCGGGGGAGCAGCGCCGGGGTACCTCGGTGGCGGCCATCAAGGTTTACATCCTGCAGAAGTACCCGACGGTGAACGTGCTCCGGTTCAAGTACCTGCTGAAGCAGGCCTTGGCCACAGGCGTGCACCGCGGCCTCCTCGTCAGGCCCGTCAACTCCAAGGCCCGGGGAGCCACTGGCAGCTTCAAAGTCAGCCGCTGGGAATGGGGTGGGGGGCTGGCGACAGGCCCCAGGGTGCAGGTGGACTTGTCCGAGGGCTTGAACCCCAATTCCAGCTCTTTCTTCCCAGCCTCTGGGTGCTGGTCCCCTGCCCTGTTCCCTCTCTCCTTCTGTCTCTTCTTGTTCTTCCTCTGTCTTTGCCAAGACCCCCCATCTCCCCGGGAAAGCTGAGCACCCACACGGCCCCAGTCACCCTGCTGCATCCGCCTCCATCCCTGTTGGGTGTGTTGAGTGACCAGAGAGCGTCTCAGCTGTTTCACTTCTGGGTCCTTGGCGCCCGTGACCCCTTCCTGGAATTCCTTACCACGGGCGGCACAGACCCAACCTTGGCCTCTACGGAGTCACAGAAATGGGGTTTGTTCCCCGTGCTGTCTGGCTCCGGACCCGTGGTCTCCAGATCAGGGCTGAGGCCTCCCTGAGCCCCTACATCCTCCTCTTTCAAAGGGGAGGGTCACCCAGAGCTAAGGGCAAATTTGGCCACAGAATTAAGCCCCAGCATCGTGACTGCCAGCTGCCACCAGGGAAATCTCAGGGACACAGACATGGGTTCTGTCTCGTCACTGCTGTGCCCCAGCAAGTAGCAGTTCCTCTGACAGGCTCCATGGAACATCGTGGAACGTTCTCAACCTCCACGTTCCAATCCCTGTGGGAATAGGGTGGCTGAGCACAGGGGATCCCCCCTCCTGGAACTCTGGGTGTGTGGGTCAGAGCTTGGACACCAGCCATGGCAAGGCCAGGGGCACAGGGTGGGGTGAAGGGAAGCAAGAGACGGCACTGGGAGTGCATGTGACTGGGAGACAGTCAGGAAAGTGGGCCAAGGGGCTGGGAGGCAGGGAAGGGGGTCTTGGGTACCACGGAGTCAGGAATGTGTGTGTGCAGAGAGTGGGGCTTGATTCTGGTCTTGGTGGGTAACGGGGAGCCGTGAGGGTCCAGGGATGCTGGGAGCAGCATCATCAGCTGGGCTCTAGAGCGGCGGGGACCACCTGTTTGCCAGGGACGCTTACCTCCTCCTGCCACTTGTACCCTCCCTGATGGCCCCATTGTAAAGATGGGGAGATCGAGGCCAGAGGGGGAGGAGAAGACTTGGGCGAGTCGCCCTTGGGCTGGGGTTGAGGCCCCAGGAAGCCACGAACTCTCAGCCGTCTGACTTCCATTGTCCGTGTCCAGCTACACAGAAGCGAAGCGGCCGGGAGACTTGGGGACGCAGTGGTGTGAGGTGGGGAGGTGGGGAGTCCGAGCCACAGTCCGTGGACGGTGTTGGGGGGTCAAAGGAGATGATAGGTTAGCATCTCAGAGATACCGTTAGGGCTCAGTGTGCATGATGTGCTCCCAGAAGCCTGGCTCTGACGCTTCCGGGTGCTGGGGTGGGAGGCGCATGCCCGCCACCTGTGCAGGGAGGGCAGGAGAAGCTTGGGTGAGTTTTGGAGACTCGGGGTCCTTAGCTCCTAGCGGCAGCACCCTTCCTCACAGCGCGTGAATGGGTGGACTGCGTTACTGGCAGCCGGCGTTGAGGAGGCGGTCTTGCGTGCTCTCCACAGGCCCGTGGCCGGCTTCCGCTCCCCCTCCTTTGGGGTGGGGTCTCCTCTGAGCCTCATGTAGGGTATAGCGGCGCGAGACGTCCAGAACCTCTGCTCTCAATCCCACCGCGTTCTCTCCTCCAGTTAGTTCCCAAAGACAAAAGGAAAATCCAGCCCAGGGAGACGTCCACCACGACGGCCCCCAGGAGGCCTGGTCAAGCTGAGGGAAAGGACCCCAAGAAGCCAACTGAGTCAAAGAAGAACCCACCCAACCCAGGCGATGTGAAAAAAGGATCCAGGAAGCCGGGAGAGGGGAGGACAGCTCCCCCCAAACCAGGTGCAGCCAAGAAGGCCCCCAAGAAAGGCCAGCAGACCAAGGACCAGGAGGCAAGACTGGGTGAGGCCAAGAAGTCCTCCCAACAGCCAGACAAGGCCACACAGGCCCCTCCCATTGCCAGTGGGCCCAGCGGGAAGTCAGAGGTCAAAGGTGGAAGGAGCAGCCGAGGTATGGATGTGAATGGGGTGAGAGGCGGGCATGGGAGGGGGTTTCTGGCAGCCACTGGACATGAGTTGGAATGGAGGGGCCAGCTCTGGGAGGCGGGGTTTCTAGCCATTGTGCCCTGGGCACTTGGCTTGACTCAGAGAGACGGAGAATGCATGGTAGCTGGTGGCGGTGGGTATGGGGGAGAAGAGCGCAGAGAGAGGGGGAGGGGTCATCTCTGAGAAGGATCAGGGGAGGCTTCCTGGAGGAGGTGTCCCAGGCAGAACAGCTTGTGCAAAGGCCTGGAAGCATGAAGAAGGTGGAAGAAGTACGAATAGTTGTGTCTGTGTGCACGGGGGGAGGGGGAAGGGGAGGTTGTGAAGGGCAGCAGGAGGCTGGACTTTATCTGGAGGTCGATGAGGAGCCACAGAAAGACTCTGAACGGGGGACAGCTAGGGCCCAAGGTGTTCTTAAAAATGTATCCTGGGGCTTCCCTGGTGGCGCAGTGGTCGAGAGTCCGCCTGCCGGTGCAGGGGACGTGGGTTCGTGCCCCGGTCCAGGAAGATCCCACATGCCGCGGAGCGGCTGGG